TCAAAATGGAATTGATAGAAACTGCAAAACACAGCTTTTACAGCATACCTTTAACAAGTAAGCCCTAGCCGACTCCCGTATCTGGGACTCCTGGGTCACGGATGACCCGTTATCTCGCACTTGGAGAACTTTGTATATAATTTCTCGCGTCTAAGGGTCGAAAGAACGGCCCTTAGGTGTTCCTCGTGCTCTTCTTGGCTCTTGGAATAAATAAGAATATCATCGATAAAGACAATAATGAACTGGTCGAGAAAAGGATTAAATACACGGTTCATCAAGTCCATGAATACTGCCGGGGCATTACTGAGGCCAAACGGCATAACCACGAACTCGAAATGACCGTATCTCGTACGAAAAGCTGTCTTGGGTATATCTGACTCCTTGATTTTTAGCTGATGGTAGCCTGAACGCAAATCGATCTTAGAAAACACGCAGGCACCCCTCAACTGATCAAATAAATCATCTATCCTGGGAAGTGGATATTTATTCTTGATCGTCAACCGGTTAAGATCCCGATAGTCGATACACATACGCATGGATCCATCCTTCTTCTTGACGAAAAGGACTGGTGCTCCCCAAGGAGAAACGCTCGGTCGTATAAAACCGAGATTCAACAACTCTTGAATTTGGGTCTTTAATTCCTGCAATTCTTTAGGCGCCATTCTGTACGGTGCCTTTGAAACGGGTCCGGCTCCCGGGATAAGATCAATAGAAAATTCCACCTGTCGGCAAGGCGGACCTCAAGGAAGCTGGTCTGGAAACACGTCCACAAACTCACGAACGATAGGAATATCATGAGATGAACGTGCCTTTGACTCATCTCCAACGAGGCTCACAAGATAACCCTGGCAATCACCCCGTCGAAGAATCCTTCTGGCTTTCGCCATAGAAATAATATGTGGCAGAGTACGAGTCCTGGAGCCGTAATAAGTGATCTGATCATCTCCCGGAAGATAAAGAGTAATCTCCCGGTCGTAACATCGAATATCTGCGTGAAATCGAGTTAGCCGATCCATACCGAGTATGAGGTCAAAATCCCTCATCTCGATAACATAAGTATCAGTAATCAGAATACGGCCGCCGATGGAAAGGCTGAGATCGGTGGCTCTAGCGTCGGTCACTATCTTTCTTCCCGAGGCTAAACTCACCTGGAGAGGATCGACAGCGGTAGTGGAACGAACCCCAATAGCTTCGAGACATCGTCGTGATATAAAAGAATGGGTCGCTCCGGTATCAAATAAGGCATAGACAGGCACATCATTAAGAATAATCATCCCAGACATGGTACCTGGGTGCTGGTCAGCCTCCCTCTGGTCAATTGCAAAAACGCGAGCCTGTTGTCTGCCGCGTTGTTGTTGCTGTGGTCGTGGTAGTTGCTGCCTGGGCTGCTGTTGTTGAAGTTGCCGTTGTTGAGGTTGTTGTGGCTGTTGACGTTGTTGCGGTTGTTGTTGCAGTCGTTCTGGACAGTTGTTGCTGAAATGACCGGGCTGGCGGCAAAAGAAACAAACATTTTGGCCCACGAGGCATTCTCCACGATGGTGTTTCCCGCAGGTTGGGCATTCTGGATATTTTCTGGGACGGGTCCTCCGGTTGTCTGAGCCCCCTCTGAGCTTCCTCTTCTTCTGGTTTGTTGATGGTTGGGCTACTTTGGGCTGGGCTGATGGCTGAGCAACTGGCTGGGCTGGTGTTTGGATGGCTTCACGTCGGATACTGGCATCGACTTCCTGTGCAATGGCAACTGCGCGGGCGTAGGTCTGGACGCCGTGGCCTACGATGTTGTGGCGGACTGCTGGGCGAAGTCCGTCAGTAAAACGGTGGGCTCTCTTTGCTTCCGTACCTACAAGATCTGGTACAAAGGCTCCGAGACGGGTGAACTCTCGTTCGTACTCGTCAACAGTACGAGTACCCTGAGTGAGTGCCAAGAACTGGCGCTCCATGTCTGCTCGGTAATACGAGGGATAATACTTTTCTCGGATCAGCTCCTTGAACTGGTCCCACGAACAACCGTCTTTTTCACCGAGACGCATACTCCAATAGGCTTGCCACCAGAGTCTGGCATCACCGTCAGCTGGATCTGGGCACATAACATGCGATAACGATCGGGGCAGTTTATGACCTCGAAAATAATCTCGAGACCCTGAACCCATTCGTCTACTACACGAGGATCTCCTTGGCCGGAAAACTTTTCTGGATGGTAGTCGCGGAACAAAGCGACCACTGTGGCCTGTGGGAGTTCCTGGTGATCTGGCTCTCAACGAGGAGGCATCTGAACATTGAAATATTTACCACGATTAAATAACATAAGTGATTAACGGACTAATTACTTAAATACACAAATCTCTTGACGAGTCGCTAAATATCCCAAGAATACTAAAGTCGAACTATCAAATAACTGGGACAATCGTCTAAGTTCTGAAAATACTCGAGCATCTTACTGGTTTCTAGGGTTAATAATCCGATATCCTCTACTGAGCATAGACTTAAGTATTCATTTAAATATAAATAAACTGAAACTCAGCACTTACCTGATAGTCGGCGAGGCGTGAGCGTAGCGTGGTCGGGTCTTTTCTGAAACATTTCTTACTTTAAAAGTATTCAGATACACGAAAATGTGCTCTGATACCAATTTGTAACACCCCACTAGCTTACTAAAATCAGAGTGCGATTTTCGCAAATCTTTTTCTAAAGTTTACGTTTTATTTTGAGAAACATATATTGGGATGCTACATAAAACATTTCTTTTCTAGAAATCCGTAAACCCATTTATGAAAAACGGATTATCATTATAAAACAAGCATGTGATACTGTATAAAACTAGACCCGAAAGCTCGGATCGTCGTCTGAAAATTTACACGCTAGTTTGAAAGTCTGAAAATGTCAGCGGAAGTAAAACGTGGCAAATATATACATATCAACAGTCTGCAAAAATATAAACATATTTACATATGCTGAACCGGCGACCACCAGCTCCACTCACTCCTCCGGACCGACCCTGTCTCCTGAAAAGGAACATAATAGTGGGAGCGTGAGTACTATGAACACTGTACTCCGCAGAAACTCATACTAAAGTAAAAATCAATAATAATACCAATATCATGACTGCAGATATATATAAATAAACTGTAATCTCCAGACGCGAGGTCTGTACTGAATTGGCCATGTGCACACTCTAATGGGAAATTAAGGCTACTGCGCCTCCACCAGAACTTTGGATGGGCAATTAAGGCTACTGCACCTCCACCCGAAGTGGAATAACTGATATACATACCTTAAAACATGATAGAGCAATTATAACCAATGTAATACCCAGTCTGAGTCCCCACCTGTATTGATAACGTAAGTGCTGCTGCTGATCACTCTGAAAAAATTATATAAATAAACAAATACTAAGTACTATGCTCAGACTGACTGAAAATGACTGTTAAGATGCTCGACTCGATCTAAATATTTAACTGGAATATTCTCGGGACTTAACTTGACTGACAAGAAAAATCGGACTGAACTGATACCGGTGTACTGGATTAACTGGACTGAAAAATTAACTAAAATACTGTACTGGACTCGAACCGGGTTAGTAAATACTGAACAACTCCCAAACCGGTCTAAACCGGCCAGTTTATTTTCTGGCCGGACCGCCGGCTCGCTGTGGCCGGGCGGTCGGCTGCTGGCTGACCACCGGTTTGGTCGCTCGCG